AGGCTGCCTGACTATCGACCTTGACTCACTTGGGAATAAATTTCAAGAATGAATTCAGTTTCTTCATTAATTCAATTGTCTTCATAAATGTCGATGACGACATCTTGTTTCTTACTTTTGTATCTACCACCTACTTTTTAAACAACCGATTGAGAATTGGACTGTCCATAAAAATACCCTGACCATTGGCCATCCGACCATCTCCCGTCTAATTGAAATAATATTTTGACTGTTCGGATCCATTCCAGATCCCAAAATACTCAAACAGGTATGAAAAAGTTTGCAAGTGTAAATACTCTGAACTTACACCAGTAGCGTAGCGTAGGGGTGGCAGGGGCGGCAAAACTTGACAATAAATAATAATAATATCTTGTAAAAATTTGAACCATTTTATTTCATATTTTCGTCCACCTACGATTCGGACCGATTGAAATGAGCACGGAATAGTGGGAATAGTGTTAAAATCCGACTTGCCATCCGGGGATATCGTGCGCAACCTGTCGACCTTTTCTGTTTTTCTTTTGCTTGTACGATTCATTCGTATTCCGATATCCAATAGGGCTAAGTCATCTAGATTACTTATGTTACTCCTGCCCAAGTCTCTCTAGTCGCTAACTGTAACTGATTTAGAACCAGCATGCACTGCAAATTATTCTTTATTGCAAAATGATATCAGGAACTTCAGTTCGAACAAACCTTACCTGCCGTCAGGGTCGGCGATTTTAAAAAGGTGGCAACACTAGCACGGAATTTTTCATTACTTATTCTGTGACAAAACTGAATTTTAGTCTTTTAAATTGAGATACCTAAATAAGGGGGCGGCGAAATTTTCCTCCGTCCCGGGCGTCTGACACCCACGCTACGCCACTGACTTACACTTCAATAAAATCAAAGATGTTTTCGGTGTTGCTTACACTTTTACAAGAAAAACAAAAACATAGCAAATGACATATTACAATATTACCGACTTATCAGTTTACAATATTGCGGCGGTTAGTAACAGTTCGCTTCACCACCGTTTCCAACCTATAGGCGTATTCAAAATCTCAGTGCGCACCAGTACTTGTCACCCCGGTTTTTTTTTCAAAATTTCAGATAATTTTCGGTTGCTGCCAGCGTGCTTCTAGCAAACTGCAAGCGTACTTTTCGGTGCTGGATACACCAGCAAACACCACGAGCTACTATGAAGCTCGTAAAAGCTCTATTTTCGTTCATAATTTTGAATTTAAATTATTTGTTGATAAATAAACCTCGATTAAATTAAAGTTCGGTTAGTACATTATTTCAATATACAAGTATATTTACGTAAGACATCACATAATTTGTTTTAATTGTTAAAGTGTAATCTTAAGATTGATATAATTATTAAAATCTGTTACGGAAATTTAAAAAATTTTATCTCTGTTTTTGAAATGTTCATTTTTCATTAATCTATTCTCATTAAATAAGATCAAAATGAAATTTAACATAACGTGGAAGGCCACCTCGTCCGCCATTTTTCTTGTTTTTCTTTCCCAAAATTCTCGGCAATGGGCATTTGTATTGTCTAGTAAACGTCAGCAGTTGCGTCACTTCTGGCAGTATCTCGCTAGATTGAAACTAAGATTTTGAATACGCCCGATGTGACGTAAGACCGAGGTTAATTAACTTCACTCTTCTAGTCATTGTGCCATTGCTTGGTCGTGTACTCACAACGCTTCTTGAACATTATCTGGAGGTCAACACGTAATTGTAAATTTTCTATTTACACGTGGAAATAAATACTCGGCAACAGCCCGGGAAACATGTCGTTCTGACTGAATTGTTTATTCATCAAGACGAAACAATACGCGTGGATGCGATCGGATTGATCGGCATACTCGATCGATCCCGAAAGGCGGCACGCCGTAATAGGCGCCGTTTTTCGGGCTCAATGTTCTTACTTCATGGAATAAGTGAACTGAAATGTCATTGTAAATACAACCACGGATGAAATTAAAAGTATTTTTATTTTGTATTTCCGTAAAATGAGGAGAGATAAAATGATCAGAATAAAATGATTCTTGATAAAACTAAATATCTCATTAACCATATCTAGATTATCATAATTTCGATGTTGCCGATCATCCTTCTCATAATAACGTTGATAATTTAAATGTGGAATTATTTTGGCATCTGAGAGAATCACGCTAAATTGTACAGATTTTATTCAATTTCAGTCGAAAGAAGAAATGAAATTATTAATATGTACGACCAGTCTTAAAAATCTATCGAAACTTGAAAATAAATAAATAGACTGGTATTCTTTTCGAAAGTATTACCATGAAGTAAGAGAAGGTCCTTCCAGTCCTGAGGACAACGAGTTTCAATAAATGCATGATCGAATCCATAACCTGCAAAATAATAGAGAGGTTGTGGCGCAAGTTCGAACGTTACTTGTACACGGCAAGCAGAAGTACACGGTTTACGTTTTAACTTCGAGAAAAAATCGTTGCGAAGCACGTTCATAACATCATGTGACTCAGTGAACGTCGCGCATCGACTCACGGGAAATTTGTTGAAAAAATGGCGGATACATTTAACATCGAGGGTTACCAGCGAAGGTAAATAAACAAATTAAACTATTTTAAGGTATTTATAGAATGTTTAAAAACACTAATTATTTTTTATTAGCGTGGTGTCTCTTACCGTACGATAGGACTACCTCATACCTTTGTCGAGGGAAGTAGTGGCTTCTGTAAATCCGAAAGCAGCTCGGAAAATTATTTTTAGAAAATTTACAAACGTATTACGCTGTTGATGGTAAGAGATGTAGTGGAAAAACAAACCTTCTTTAAGATAAGCTGTTATGAAGGCAAATATACGTAAATTCTATGGGCACTTGACATCACTCGCTAAAAAATTGAATAATTAAATAATTTCTGGATTAAGATCGTCTGTTTCTTTACAGTATTATTCGTAAGTGCTTAAATAATCATTATTTTAATGAAATAGGTCATAATTTTAACCCTAAATACAAAAAATGAAGAAGTTTAAACTAATCGTCTACTCGCCACGCTAGACGTAGCGAACGCCATTATCGACCGTCTAGAATTTCCAGATGGCGGCGCTCGACCGTCCGCCGTTCACGTTTTTGGCAGAATACGACGGCCGCAACCGCTCTAATATCGTGAAGCATTGTAAACATCCAATAGACGAAACCATGCTGCAAGTTGGAAATATATGTGNAACGCCATTATCGACCGTCTAGAATTGCCAGATGGCGGCGCTCGACCGTCCGCCGTTCACGTTTTTGGCAGAATACGACGGCCGCAACCGCTCTAATATCGTGAAGCATTGTAAACATCCAATAGACGAAACCATGCTGCAAGTTGGAAATATATGTGGAAGGCAGCGGGTCTCGCACACCCAGCGCGACTTTAGTTAATCATCCTATCTCTTTACTGTTGTTCGGTAGTCGGGTGACAAAGGTCCGGGGAGACGAAGAATTGATTTGTCCTGTAATATACAAGGTAACAAAGCACAAGGTAAAAAGCTTTTTACCTTGAACGAACGCCCCGAAGATCGGATGCGCAGCCGTTATATTCCCATCAGTTGTGGGAATTTGATCATTACCTTTTGTTTTGTAATGAGGACACTCCGAATGTGTCATCGACAGGTGGGCAAAGGTAGTGAAGTTAGTCTTCTCTGGGCGGATAGTTTACTATTTTTTATTCGATTGTTTATAGATTGTCACCGTGGACTCGTTTAAAAGTCAAATTTCTCACACGGCAATAATTAGTTGTTATACTTTATTTCCGAAATTTTCTCAGGTTGATGCGAGGAGGAAAGGTTCGAAGAGCTCCCTACTAGCAGACAGATGTTGACTGTTTAACTAATTCCATGAGAAATGGAATAAAGAAACGTTGCTTATAATTTTGCTTTTTGCTACAAATAACAGAAAAACAATTTTCCGAATCTCACAACCATAATGTAAATTTAGTATTAAATGAATAATAGAAAGAATAAATGTCCCACCTTTTCACAAAGTTTGTTAAAACGGTACTATATTACATTTGCGTCCACGATTTAAATACAATTGTAAATAGTATCAAAATTCATTAGAAAACACGATTAAGTAAATAAAGAGAAAACAAAGTAATGCAAACATTTCCTGTTTATCAAGAACTGAAATAAGCAAATATTATTAAATAATATTTTTGAAATGTGAATAAATGTCTTTTTCGTAAGAATTGAGAATTAATTAATTAAATAAATGCAATTATATAAATTTATATTCACAATTTACAGAAAAACCTGTAGATAGAAGGTATCATCTTTACTTTTTTACTTGCAATTTTCAATTTTTCGGTTATTACATATTATCCATCATTATTAATCCTGAGCTCATCGCCAGTTTGTGTCTGACGCCGTTTCCACTATTTTCTTCCATTTCTCTCTATCCATTGTTGATTTTCTCAATTGCCACACATTCCTCCACACCACCTCTTCATGTTATCAATTGATCCTCTATATGGTCTGCCGTTTTTGTTGAATCCATCCATAATACCATAGACTAAAGTCTTAATTTTTCTGTTTTCATTCATTTTTGTTATGTGTCAGTTGAACAGTTGAAGTTTTTGGTGTATAATTTTTGTAAGAGATTCTTTTTCAAATATATCGTATTAAAAGTTCTTCGTTTATGACTTTTTGCATCCATCCTATTTGAAAGATCTTTCTGTAACAGTGTCTTTCAAATGCTAATATTTACCTTTCCATATCTTTTGTTATTACCCATGTCTCACAGGCATACAACACGCAGGTGTTCAATACTTTTAATTTTGTCTGCAAACTAATTGCTTTACTTTTCCAGATTTTGTCCATTGCTTACAAATTTGCTTTTGCCTTGGCTATTGTAATCTCTATTTCTTTTCGCAATCCAGATCTTAGGTTAGATTGCTTCCTAAATATGCAAAGCTCTCTGCATTTCAATTTCTTTCTATTTACTAGGATGTTTCTTATCTTGTTGTTATCATCAAATATCATTGTCTTAGTTTTTCGCTATTGACAGTCAGTCCATATCTTTTTCCTTCTTCATTAAGCAAATGTATATTTTCTCTGGTTTCTTCACTTTCTTCAATGATAACTATGTCATCTGCAAATCTCAGGTAATTGAATTTTACACCGTAAACTGGTGTTCCCTGCATCTCTTGTGTCATCTTATCCATGAATTTCTAGGAGACGTATGAAGATAGTTTGGGATATAGAATCTCCCTGTCTGGTGCCTGCTTTTGGTTTGAACCAGTTTTCTAGCTCTCCATGGAATCTCACAGCTTCTTCTACATTATCATTAATTAATATAACTTAGCAGGTTTATTAGTTTATGATCTACATAATATTTTAGCACTGCCAAGGTTGCTTTTTGGTCTACGCTGTCAAATGCCTTCGGAAAGTTCACAATGCAGAAATAGATGTTTTTCTTGCTTTTTTCTTTCCTTTTCCACTAACAGCCAGAATGTTAGTATCTGTTGCATTGTATTTCTTCTGTCTTTCCTGAAACCTGCGTGTACATCTGCTAAGTGTTCTTCTATCGAACTACTTAATCTCTTTTTTAAAATCATCGTCAGAATATTTCCTCTGTGGCTTGTTAGGGCAATCGTTATATAATTTTTGCACTCTAACATGCTGCATTTCTTATGTATTATCAACAATATCGATTTTGCCCATTTTTAGGTATCTTTCCATGTTTTCATACCTCATTACACCCTTGGTGTATCTTGTTAATTAAGGTTTTTTCTCCATACTTATTCATTTCTCTTTTCATTTTTTCATGCCATGGACTCTTATTGTCTTTTAACCGTTTCACTGCTCTTTCAACTTTCTCCCTCATTATATCATTTTCATCTTTAATTAGTTAACACTTGGTGCTGATATCTTCCTTAATTTATCCACTAGATATTCTAAGGTTTCCTTGTATAGTTCAGAGCAATAACTTGTCCACCTTTGTAGGACTTTCATCCTGCACACTAAAACCTATACCTTCTCATATTTGATTGCCATTTGCTTTGGTTTCCATTTCTGGTTGACATTTCTGATCATCTAATATACTTCTCAAATCTTCCATTATCCATAATATTTTTTTGTTTCTACACTGATCCTCTAGCCATATCGTTTTATCTATCCTAACTGCTTTTTTCACTTCATTTCACTTTACCTTATACTGTTTTTCAGACATTTCTCTTCTAAGCCTAATAGCTCATTCCTCTTGGACAAGCTTTAGGGTGTTTTGTGTGATCCATTTCATGTTAATTTTTTCCTCTTCTGGTAGGGTCTGCTCAATTGCTTCTCTTATTGCCTTTGTTAATTCTTCCACTCTTGTGTCTAGTTCTTCCATCTTGTCTTTCTCGTGTCCATTTCTATATATTTTCCTTATTTTCTAATCTTTTAGCTTTGAAATATCTCTTTTCTTCTGGAAATGTGCATTAACTTTCCTCTTCAGTTTTATCTTTATATTTGCAATGACTAAGCTGCGATCTGAATCTATGTAGGCTCCTTGAAAGGTTCGATACTGTTAAATTGATGTTGATCATCTCCTTTCGATCAAAATAATATCAATCAATTATGTCTTGTTGTTTAATCACTTGATCTCCATGTCCATTTTCTACAGTTCTTTTGTTGGAGTTTGGTGTTGCATATCATTAAGTCTTGATGTAGGGCAAATTCAAGCAGTGTTTCTCTTCGTTCATTGTTTGAACCATATCAATACTTACACACTACTCTTTCCTAACCTTTATTACTATTCCCAATCTTAGCATTCCAGTCACTTCCGATGATGGTCACATGTCTCTGCGGTGTTTTCTCTATTATCATGCTTAGATCTTAAAAGTTCAATCTCCTCTTCACTGCTATATGAAGTAGGTGCATATACCTGGTTTTACTGATATATTAAATGGCTTTGCTTCAAACCTTGCCATCATCAATCTTGCACTAACTGGATTGTATCCTAATAATTCTACTCGTGCTATTTTACTAAGCAGAAATCCAACACCAGCTTCATGCTTTGTATCATTTCCCGACCAGATGACTTCACTACAATTCAGTTTTCCGATGCTGTCAAACTTATCTCTGTTAAGCCTAATATTTCGCATTGATATCTCTCCATTTCCTTCCGAAGATGCTCTGGTTTTCCAAGTGACCATAACGTTCTGACATTTTAAGTTCCCACTGAAAGGACTCGTGTTGCTGGGTAAAGCTTTCCTTTCTTTCTTTCTGAACCCATAATGGTCCTGCTTTAAGAGGCTCTCTTAGTGCCCACAGGGCGGAAAGAGTAAACAAAAACCCACTCCACTAACAGTTTTTAATGAACCATTATCAGTTTTGTCCCTAAAATGAACCGTCGACGTGTGCACATTCATATCAATCAGTGTTAGGATCACTGTTTACAGTATGGAATTTCTGCGCACTGTTATTCGCTCGCCTGCAGCACAAGAATCGGAAATGAAGAACAACGGGAAAAGTCATTTATTGCCTTTTCATCTATTCAATCTCGATCAACTTTCCATCTGACATCCATCTTTGCAAGAAATGGCCGGAGTAGCGAGGAAGTTGAAAGATGGTAGAAGCAGTTACTTGAAGGCTAAGAAAATGGTAATCACCACAGTCGACATTATTTACGATTCTTTCTCAGATTTATGATTTATGCTACTTTATTATTTTCTTCTCTACACCAGCTATCGAGAATCATGAAAATTCTTTAATGCCATATACGTTTTGTCTACAAAAAAGCGTATAATAAAAATTAAAAACAATCAACGTACTGCAAAATAAAGGAACGAGTTTCTTTACGACTGTTCCAGGAACATTTGATAGTGCCGTCTCTGGTCATATTTTACTATTGAAAATTATCATAGTTTTCTATTATAAAATACAGTAGAACCTCGAAAACTCGGCCTAATGTGGACCGAAGGGTGGCCGAGTTTGTGAAAATGCCGGGTTATCGGGAATGGGGTTAAAAAAAATAAGTACGAGTGTTTCCTCAGAAAATACTGTACTGTACTTGTATGTATTGTTTACTTGAGAATATAACAGAGAATAAACTGCCCAAATACCCTTAAACAAAGGAAAAGTACGTCCTTTATGAAGGCATAGAGCCTTTACTACATGAAAATGAAAATTAATGTATACACTGTGTACAGTAATTTACCTGATAAGACAGACCTCAGAAAAATACTTTACGAGAGCTTTTATACTTTTATAAAACTGTCTATAAAGAAAATTAATTAACTAAGGATTTTTTTTGCCCTGCCAGGGTGTGGCCGAGTTATCCAGAGTGCCGGGTTATCGAGAGCCGAGTTTTCGAGGTTCTACTGAAAATGGCTTAATTTTTAGAATAGGGATGAACCTACGTGCAAAATTTCAGACATTTTCGACTAAAAACACAGAAGTTATTAAGCATTGAAAATATGAGCAAAATCGTGTCCTTCACTTACGAAGTTTATGGACATTTCAAGGTCTCCTCAGACTAAAAATGTAAAAACTAGTGATGTAACGAATATTCGGTTACTATTCGGTATTCGGCCTATTCGGTTACTATTCGGTATTCGGCCTATTTAGATTTAATGTTGTTGGGTGAGTGTTGTTTGTTGATATTTATTTATAACTTGTAATATGCACAAAATAAAAAAGAAAATAATATTAGTCACATGTATTTACAATTTTTAATTACAAAGATCAGCACACGTACTGTACACGTCTATCGTTGGAGAATCTTCGCACATTTGAGGGTCTGACCCTGCGTATCCTTCTTTTTAAGCGCTCGTCTTTGCCCTTCCCTTTCTCTTTCCTCTATCGCTTTAATCCATGTATGCCTGTGCATACATCATAATACGCGCTCACGATACTTTCGATTCGTCACTTTTCCGTCGTAGAGTTCCCATTTTACAATTACGTGACTCAGCCTGGTGATAATGGAGAAAAGAGACAGATAGGACGTCAATATAAGTCACAGTTATGATTTCACAGATTCGAGACAGCTTGATAGCCCGAACGGCTCCAGGCTTTCGCCCGTGCACGCTAAGTGACTTTCATTACAAGCATTTAGCATTCCGAAGTCTATGACAACAATTGTTTGGCATTGACAGGCGCGAATTTCGCGCCAATAAGCTGCATCGACTTGTTCGATTATGTTATCAACTCAATTTCATATTTATTTTCACATTTTCACTTCGCGGTCCTTCTCTGTCCTTTTTCCGTTATTTCCAAGAATTAACGCGATTGGCGAAGCGTACTGACAGCGGGCCAATAGAGAGCGGGATCCTTGCCGTAATGCGGTTTGCGCGCCAATTTTCGTACGTGCGTTAATCGAGCCGAATAGTTTGGCCGAATATTCGGCTATTCGGCCACGCTCCTGGCCGAATATTCGGTATTCGGCCTGAGGCCGAATATACTATTCGTTACAACACTAGTAAAAACCTTAGTGGGAGATTTTTGATCAATTGCCATACTTTTCCTCTGTTATACGTAATAGCCGGAAAAGTAAAAAATTTATATAAAAATAAAGACGATTGTATTTATTGAATTAAATAATACGCGATTTATACGAAAAAAGTAATATTTATTTATTTCAGTTCTTGATAAACAGGAAATGTTTGCAGTATTTTGTTTTTTCTTTTATTTATTTAATCGTGTTTTCTAACGAACTTTGCTATTATTTGCAAATGTATTTAAATTAATCGTGGATACAAATGTAATAGAGTAGCATTTTAACGAACATTTTGAGAAGGTAGGTCATTTATTGTTACTATCATTTTTTAAATAGTAAATTTAAATCATTATTTATTAAATAAATTATTTTCTAGCTATCGTAAACTGAAAATGAAAACATTGACATTCATTACATTGGCTTTACTTTCCTTAGTACTTGGTAGGTACTTAACACCTCGTATGTTATTACTTTTTAATTGTCGTATTGTAATTTATCATTAGAAAACAATTTTATATTAAGTTAAACGTATTTAAAGTTTATTTCACTAAAAAAATTTACATAAAATTCATATAGGAAAAATTTTTTTAGTCATTTTAGTACAGTTTATATCTGAGAATCATTATAAAGTCATTTATGTCTGTCTAATGTAAACACAAACTTTCAAGGTTCGTGGACATCGTTTTGCATGTTTATTTTTTATGTGTCAGCTTTTGGATCCACAATAGTCATTATATAGATAGATACCTGCAAGTTATTCTAATACTACAAAATACTTCTCTACTCATTGAGTGTAAGAGATGTTTAAGTGATAACCTTATATTACTTCCTAGAAGAAAATAGTTATAGATAAATGCTGATAGTATCATTTGTAATGTATTTTATTACATTTGTGAAATATATCTGTATCTTTTTTTATTTTTATAGACAGGAAATTCACAAATGCTGAAGTCAAAGGAGCATACCCTCTAGAAGCAGACTGTAGCACTTATAAATGTACAATGCTCGGAGTGAACAAATATTGTATAGATGTTTGTAAACTTCATTTTGCAGGTTACGGTTATTGCTTTGCATTTGCATGTTATTGCGAAGGATTGAATCCGAAGTACGCACATTATTATTTGAGACTTCTACAAAGAGTTAATGGTAATCACTAGACCTGCATATTTTTTGATAATGAACAATGATTATGAAAAACAGACTGTAGATATAATGAAAGAGCGTAGTTTATTATATCAATAAACAATTCACGATGTGTACTAAAAAATACAATGCAACATTTAGAACGTTATTATTTAATAAAATATATGTTTTAAAATATTAACTAAATATTTATTAATTTAAAATCCAAACAAACAAATAATCAATATATAGCCTACACAAAAATGTACAGTAAGCACTTACCACATTCGCAATAATAGAAATCTATCAATATAAACAATATATTTCGGTAATTTTGATTTATTAAACAGATATAAATATAGTAGAGCATCGATTATCCGAATCGATTGGGGACTGGGGTTGTTCGGAAAAATCGATGTTTCGGATAACCGATTATGCACGAAAAAATATATTAATTTATCCCATGTTGAAACTTTTCTCTGTTGCGTGTCGCTTCGCGTTGAATTTTCGTCGTTGTTAAGCCTAACGAAGACTATTGTATCGTTAAAAATTATTTTTTTATTTTGTACAAACAAAATAAATATATTGAAAAATATAAAAACAATAAAAAATTATACTTCAGAAGTTAAACGTAAAATATTTCAGTAGCCCAAGACATAGACAAAGATTGAAGCGCCACAGCACTGGCGAAAGTTTAAATTTGCCGACTGGAATTCTTTCGGATGATTGACTTTCGGAAAATCGACGCTCTACTGTAATTTTATTTTTAATTATTAATGTTAATAAGAGATAGTGCATAACGCTTACCTCTAGAGCCAAATTGATACGTAATTAATTTAGTAATTAGCCTTAAACTAACCGGATAGATTTTCGGCATTCGGTTGGTGTTTAGCTAAATGCTTAACACCAGTATAATTGTCCTGTTAATGATTAGTGTCCACATTGACAAAATACATAATAAGAAATTAAATAAGGACAGTAAGGCAATAATAATTATTATCGTATCGTTTTTTTTACGTGCGCAATTTATAACACTTTTTCCCCGTTGTTCGAAAATAACAATAATATAACTTATCTAGCTTTACCGAACACTGTGTACTAAACATTACCAGAAAAAATAAATACGTATAAGTCCTTGAATCGTACAAGTAACTACTACATCGGGACATTTTAAACGTGGGATGTTATACTTAGAAATAAAAACATTAGGTTGTTATATGTACAGTACATGATATATTATTAAAGTATTACAATAATTACATGTGGCATATAAAAAATAATTAAACCAGTTAAGGACTTGTGTTGGAACAAACCTAATACAGTGGAAACCCGGTTAACAAACGTGTTGGTTAACGACCAAATCGGTTAACGAACTTTTATTTTGCAAAAATTTTGTCTCGGATAACGAACTTAACGGCTTTTTGTGTCAAATTTGTAAGCTTTGCGACTTATAGGGGGAATCAGTTAATCGTGTGTCGGTGATGGTCTAGGGTCCATTCGTACGTTGGTGGTGGCGGAGGAGACAAAGATGACAAGTATTTTACAGTGAAAATCGTTTATTAGAACGGGAAGATGCTTACATATTTGAGGTAGTTG